AAATTCTTATATCATCTGATTATTCAATTTCTTGTTTTCTGTTTTTCTCTTAGCTTATTCTTTACCGAGAGAAATTCTTTCCATACCTTATGTACCGCGAGGGGTCATTTGACCCCTTATGGTAAGATAGGTATCTGTAAAATACCATTACGTTTAGTGGTAATAAAGAATTCTAGATTGATTAACGAAAATGATTAACAAATATAGGAATTGGAATTAATAATGATAAATAAAGTGCCAGCAATAGCGGTTAAACTTTAATTATAAGTTAATGATTATTGAATTTCTGTTAACATTATATATTGGAATAAGTTGTTTTTAAATTATTAATTATATAAGTGAAATTTTAATTAATAGATATAATTTATAATCTGAAAATATGTAAAAGTTAAATTATAAACTAGGATTAGATACCTTATTATTTTAATATATGAGATAGAGTTTTTATAATTAAATGTTAAGTCATTTAATTATAAATAAAATAATATGGCAGCCTTTTAATCTTTTTAGGGAAATTTGTTATTTAATTTGATAATCCACCATAGGATATACTGAAATTAAATTTATGTATTGTTATTTAAATTTATAAAGAAAAATTATATATATATATAAATATTTAATAAAATAATACTTTAAATCAAAATGTAGTATATTTAGGAATAAATGAATTATAAAAAATTTTATTTTTAGATAATTAATTTTAATATCAATTTGAAAGAGGATTTAATAGTAAATTAATTAAATTACTTTAATTGAATAAAGTATTAATTGGTGTACAAATTGCCCGGTAAGTTTCACAAAGGAATAAGTCGTAACACAGTTAAGACAAAGCTATTTTTTGGTCAAAATGACTGGTCTTTAAAAAATACGTAACAATAGGATATTTTCATATTTATTGATTTATTACTTTCTTACAAAAGAAATCCCATGTTACGTAGTATAGTTAACATCAAATTGTCAGATTTATTCAACAAATGTTGAATAAATCTGCATCTGGCTTTAGACGCAACTCTGACCATTTTGAATAAACTTATCCCATACAGCTGATGTTAAAGCGAATAAATCTCTAACTATTTCGGTAGAATCATTTCATGGTGTTGGAAAAGAAGCTTGGTCCCCATTCCCTGTTCCATAAATATGCAAGTTCCAAATTTTTTGTTTCTTACCATACATACAAAATTCCAAATCTTTTACCCAAAACTCGAGAAGCCTGTAATTCCGTGCAAGATATTATACGTTCAAGCGTATGCTCGTCAATTAGTAAAATTTTCTTTGATAAATATCGATAATTGATTAATCGAAACTGGTTAATTCGGGTTCGGCAAACAGATTGTAGAACTCTTTTACACTTTGGCAAGTAGCAGTCATTTTGACTGGCATTGGTATAAGTAGCCATGATGCAAAATTATTTTGATTTCTAATGAATAAAAATAAAGTAAAATCAATCCAAGTATTATTTCTTTAGTTATCACTGCAAAAGTCATTACATCATTGCTGCAAAAAAATAAAAAAAGAAATGTAACATGAAATAGAAATTTTAAAATAAAATTGTCATTTTGACTGGTAGTTCTGGTATTAATTTTTTTTACCTGTCTGTCAAAGGAGTAATGACGAGGCGAGGACAGTTTCCAATATACTCGTACGCGTAAGCTACGCTCGTGTATATAACGCTGACAAACACGTCGTCTTTCCAATAGTAACGCAGCTGCGCCAACCAATCAAAGTCGGTTTCGTTTGTGATCCTCTTGTCGATCAGTGACTTTACCACGTCCATGGCGTGCACGTCCAGAGTGATGAGAGCGTTCAACGTGGTACGATTTTGTTTCGACAATTGCCCTAAGCAAGTATACATTCTGTTTAACAGCTTTTTGGCAAATGGACCTTCGAAGGAGCCTTGCCTCGTACCTCTGACCAATTGAACCATCTCCAAGATCTGAGATCCAAGCTTCGTATGCAGTGCTTCCATTGTCGAGCGAATGTGGGTCATAAGGCTGTTTTGAACCTCCATGCTCCAGTAAATTTGCGAAACGCACAAGACGACCATGCCAGGCCATGTGCGTACCCACACGACGCGCTTAGTGACTTCGTAGTCGAGGTAGCTCATCAAAATCTCGTGCCTCACGGATTTCACCATTTGGTCTTCGACCTACAGCCCCCCTCGAAGCAAGTTGTACGCCATTGTGACAGTCGGTTCAAATTTCAATAAATAAGTTGCGTACTTGGAAGAGCCATCGTTCCACGCAACCTCTAGCCGCAGCGGTCGAAATCTCTTCCTGCATTCTAACCTCTTCGTAATCTTCGCTGAACATCGAACATATGTCCATCACTTCGTTGAACCTGTCGTGAGTTGTATCATCGTTAAAAGAATCGGTGTCGTGTGTCTGTGAACGTATAGTAGTTTACCGCAGCCTGTTTATGCCCTCGAAGCATTTTCGAAGATGCGGTTGGACTCGAAGGGGCTCCTTCGTTTCAGACAGTATCTCCAGCATATCGTCGTTGCTCAGAAAGAAGAATCGTGGGAAGAAGAGCCTCTTCAACTCCAAGTAGTTCAATACTCCGTCGTTTACCTTCTCCATCAATTCGTTGGCCTCCTGCATGATTTCCAAAAGACCCACCTGTGCGTGCAAACAACGTTGACGTTATTTTGGGCATTTTTTTTGTTTTTTAAATACACGATAGATGTGATACTTGCAGAACCAGCAGTCTCTCGTACACGAGGGTCCCTCGAAAGGCCGCTCATCGCGCTACGAAATATTCTGTCGACCTGAACGAACAGTACTTCCTCGTCGGGCAACTGCGCCACGATATCTTTGCTCGAGAAGATGGGCAACAGGTACATCCATTGTATTTGAACCTTGAACGCGTGAACACGTAAAAATATTATGCAGAGATGTACACGCATTTTCTGAAACCTCTGAAGAGAATACTTTGGCCCACTCGTCGATCGTCGACTGTATCCGATGCAGAAGAACGTAAAAGTTCTTCACTTCCTCCTCGATGAGCTTGACAAACGCGGAGCCTCGCATCGCTTGAACTTTCACAATATGCTCCTCCAAGAGAGCGTGAATGTCGTCCAGTTGCGTTAAGATATTCACTCCGGAGTCTTTGTACAGCATAATGGTGAACAATACGTCGTCCCACTCGCTGGTCATCTTTGCCAATAATTCCTCGAGCATTAGTTGCTTCGTCGCGCATATGCTTATCGTTTCGTACCTTCATCGAACACAGACTCGGATGTAACTGCCTGATGTGGAAAAGCAGATAAAGAGAGAGAGAGAGAGAGAGAAAAACACACCTAATAGCTCGTAATAGCAAAGAATGGCGAGATAAGTTCTATTACTTTTCCAAGTCCGCCATTAAATCCATGTCTATAATTTTTCGAAACGTTGTGCCAGCATCGGGTGTGAGATCGAAACCGGCGATAGCCGACATTTCATCCCAATGGATTTGACGTATCGCGAAATTTCGGAAAACAGCCAGCAACGGTATATATTGCTGCGTTGAAAGTAACAGATAAGGAAACATTTTTACCAAAAAAAAAAAAAAAAAAAAAAAAAAAAAAAAAAAAAAAAAAAAAAAAA